ACAAAAAATAATAATAATTAATTAATTTAGCAGACTAGGAATGGGGGAACAGAAGACACTGTATAAAAAAAATGTACTTATTACCTGACTCATGTAACTGTAATCCCTCCATATATCACCTTTAGAATAATAATAAACAATAAAGGATACAAAATCAAAATATAATCATCAGTTGTATTTCTCTGCATTAACAATGACTGATCTAAGAAGAAAATGACATTTACAATAACATCAAAAATACAAAATTCTCCAAACTAGGGAGTGGGGAATACACAAAATACTGCTGAAAGAAATTAAAGATACAAACACATGGGAAGATAATCTATTTTAAAAAAAATAAAAAAGATATGCTGGTGGCAAAGAAAAGTTACCCCCCCAAGAAGCTGAAAAGGTCATCTAAGTTGTGTGAATTGCTTTACAGCACAAAACTGTCCAATTCTTAAATTACAAAAGCAAGTGTCTTCTAAATAAAAGCCTACAGTTGTTTCTCAAATTCTAACAGTTAATGTTAACTGCATGAAATTCTTTTAAATATAACCTAAGAAGCTTCTTTCATAATCAGCACAACTCCTAAAGGAATATCTGATTTTCTACAGCTAATTAAGAAATGTGTGCATTAAAATAACTGACACAGTAGCCATGGTGCTCTCTTTTTCCTTCAGGAAATCACTGAGTGTGTTTAAACTGGAAACAAACTATAAAATACATACACCAAAAAAGGTGTTAATAACATGATTCAGTCTGAAAGGATCTCTACAGAATACTATAAGAGATAATCGAAGATTTTACTATGTTGCCTGTCAGTCTCTCACATTCACAATTTAATGAATGTGTAAATCCTGGGACACACTTCACACATGTAATGTCTTTCCCATCTCCTCCATCTCACTGAGAGAATACCAAGGAGTTCTTTCTGCTGTGGGAAACAGGACTTACTATATAATACCACTGATCCCTGGTTGTGAGCCGGAGATGGAGCCATATCATACACAGGTTCTTTATCGGGATACTCCCTGAAAATCAGTGACTAAACAAATGGAGTCTTTCCATATGCTGTTTTCTTACTATTTTATTTTTATTATCTCCTAGGTAATTAGGACACTCAGCTTGAAAGAATACTAGTTTTTGCCTCTACAGTGTTCATTTTAATCTGATTGGAGGTACTCTAAAAATAATCACAACAGAAAAGTCACAAAATAAGTCACAACTGATAGGTCTCAAGGGAAAACTACTTGTTGCCCATTACAAAGTCAAACTCACCAGATCTATACAAAATACTTACAAAGTCTACTCTGTGCTAACTTCACTTGATCTTTCACAAGTATTTTATGCAAGGCCTACTCTGTGCCAAGCACTGATGTAGATTCTGTGGACACAAGAGTGAAAGACTCTCTTCAGAGTGCCTCTGAATATACAACTGCTAAAAAAAAAAAAAAAGTAGATGATATATGAAATACCAAGAGCAACTTTGGAAAAATAAAAATGAGGGTTTAACATTTAATTTCCTTAAAAACAAATACTTTCTTAAAACATCTTAACACTGACATCACATCATCTTAATGTGCAATGGAAGTTTCAAAAATACAGACATACAAACAAAACTCGGTGGTCTGAAGAAAATAAAATCCTACCACAAAGATCAAGATGAAATGCTAAGCTAAAAAAGTACCAAACATAAATGGCAAGGTTTAGAACTGACTGCAACCATTTCAACAAGCAGTTTTCTAGAAAAGGTTTCTGGTGTAAAGCACTACCCCAGGTATTAGAAAAATTACAAATGATAAAAGAAACCACCAGAGCTGACCATGGAAGATCCAATGAGCCACACATAATAGAAAGCATTATGCAACATGGGAAGGGGGGGGAGAACACACACACACACACACACTCTCCCCCCCCCTCTCTCTCTCTACATCTTACAACGCCACATGCCGGTTCCTAAGAGCTTCCGAATGTACATGCTAAGAGGCCCAGTAAAACCACAGGGTTCCCAGCCCGAGGGGGAAAAGGCAGAGGAGGCAGGGAGCCAGGAGGGTTTCCGGCCACTTCATTGCAACCCAGGCCAGTAGATCACCTGCTGAGGACCGGGCCAGACCTGGACGCACAGCCGGGAGAATGCCCCAGAGCCGGCTCAGGACTGGACGGGAGCCCGGGCCCCCACAACGGTGGTTATGAAGGTTCGCTGGCGCGCGCCCGGGCAACCACCGGTCCTGAGGGGTCAGGGGCAGCGCGGGATTCCACACGCCCGCCGCTCCACTACGGGTCTGCCACGCCTGCGGCCGCAGCGAACCACGGAGGCAGCAAGATCAGCGAAAGGGATGCCTGGACGCTCGACCCCCTTCCGGTCCCCAAGGCAACCCGGGATCGCCCAGCCCCGCCCCCGGCACCCCCATTCCCGG